CGTTGCAACTTCATATCTGGTGCGCGTCTTTTATTTTAACAGCGAATGCGCACCTGCGGGCCACTTATGTGCACCCGTGTTTATAAGAGAAACTGTAACTGCGTTACATAAATGTAAGGTTAATCGCACCAAAGAACTTTGTCTTGAACGTTCCTCGCTGTTATCTGATGGTGTGCATTTCTGCTGTTAGCTTGTGTGTCATTGTCTGTTACTGAAAATTGTTGTTGGGATATGCTAGCTTTAGCTGTTAGCTGTTGCTGTTAAGGCCCCATTTCATTTATGCTAACCTTGTTAGAATTATTCTTACAAGGTTAGTATTCTCCTGAACAGTAGGTGTCGCCACTCAGACTAAACCTCCACATCCTCCACAAGTCGTTAAAACCTGTCAAAACTCAGCAGCAGCACAACAACTACCACCTGTTGCTTGTGACCAATGTTCCCTCTAAGCTGCGCGCGTGCGCACTGCTGGCACGGTGTCTGCGCAGAAAAAAAATCTGTGTTGCGCACAAAAAAAAGTTCTAACCTGAATTGAAATTAAAGTAAATACGTTAACAATTCTGTTTTGCAGTGTTAGTCAGTAAGTGACTGGCTGCTCCAGTGTGGGATTAGAATGATGCCACCTTATGCCATAGTCTAGCCAATCACACGATTCACATTCACGTATATGCGCAGCTAATCAACGTCGCTGACAGGCTATGACAGCGTCCTTATGTGCCGACACCGGTGTTTTAGCCAGTGTTGCCAACTTAGCGACTTTGTCGCTATATTTAGCGAGTTTTCAGACCCCTTAGCGACTTTTTTTCCAAAAAAAGTCGCTAAAAAAAGACGTGAAAGTGCATATCGCTTTTACTCTCAACAAGCAGCAGGTGCTGTAACGCAGTCAGTTCTTCTTTTACTCTTTTACTCTTATGCTGTTTTGTGGATCACAAGGTTTAAAACTACTTATAAACACACACACACAAAGTAACTCCACCAGAGTGCCTATTTCGGGTCACTTTTGCCGGTCCAAGCCCGGGTAAAGGAGCAGGGTTGGAATTGTGACATTAAAAAAACAATAATTGCTAAAAGAAATTTAATTTGTAGTTCTAAATAAACTCTAAATGCATTTAGGACGTTTTTTACTCACTTTATGTCTCTTCCACGATGTTATTTCTCTCTCCAACACCGTAGGTTACAATTACATTAGCATGACCAATTATGCAAATTAGGCGATGACGTCATTTAGCGACTTCTAGCGACTTTTAGGACAACCAATAGCGATTTTCCTTACTGAGGAGTTGGCAACACTGGTTTTAGCTAGCAAAGCGGCGTGGCTGATGTGGAGTGAAGCCACGTTAATGACAACGTGTACAACCATTGGAGATGTGAGCAGGACAGACGGAACAATTGACGGAAAAAGTGTGGTTTATATCAGTTTTTAAATTGTATTGATCGGCCACGTAAAACCAGATTTGTGATAAAAAATATCTGCAATGTTTGGTTTTCTTCCTCAATACTACCGTTGTTTATATTTACTCCAGGAAGAAACGGTAAAAATGGCGTTTTATAAGGAAAACGCTCGAAAGCCTGTGAGCAAAGATGAAACCAAGACACACCCCACCCTTTCCCATTGGTCAAAAAATGTACCATGTCGACCAATCAAAACATGGTATTTAGTTGTTAAGATACGGAAGGAAGTTTTAGGAGTGATGGCGGTTTTGAGATGTGAGAGATTTGCGACATTTAGCGCAAATCTTGTGTAGTTAGTGTGTAGTGTAGTCAATAGTTTTGTTGTGTGTGTCAGAACAATGAGGCGACTGCTGAATGTTACAGGAGTGATATATCTCTTGTTGTCAGGCCTGCAGGTATCAGGCTGTTGTTCGCCTTTATCTCATAGTGGACAGACATTTTTTTTGGAGTGGCACAAATGATTTGTGTGGCATCAGATTTGATGCAGAACAGCTGATTGTTCTGTAAATAGTTTGAAATGTTTATTTAAAGAATTTAAAGAAAGAAAGTTGTGTTTTCAAAATTCGAGTTCAAGTTATTTTTACTTCCAATAGTGTTAACATACTACACAGGTCATGAACAAGATTTTTTTTTAATTTTCATTGTAAGTGGGCTAAAGCAGTTAAGTAAAAGTAGTCTAACAGAAATGTAAATGCTGTAATTTGGTTATTTTAATAAACCATGTAACTTGGATGGATTCAATGCCGGCGTGACCACAGTGCACACGTCTGCTGTTGCTCACAGTGGTCCAAGGGACCGCTCAGGGAGTTTGTGCGTTCGCTCAGACACATGAAAAATTAGAGGGAACATTGCTTTTGACCACAGATGTGATGTAAATTTAATGTCAGTAGCTAGCTGGCTAGCTAGCTGGTGTTTTTTCAGTCAGACCGGAGAGTTTGAAACACCAGGGAAGCTGACCAGTTTATCACTGAGACCTTTTGTTCATTGGTACCCTAGAAAGACCTCACAATAGATAAGATGAAGGTTGAAAGGCTTTTGGTTAGCTTTTTTCTGCACACAGGACAGTGTCTGTACAGCTAACCTTTTCATCCGTTATCATTCCAAACACACACACAAGATTGTTAAACAACCTTTGTGTAACAATTCACTTTGTTAACCTTTTTTATTTATAGGTGGAAAATTCTGAATTTCCATTATACAGTCTGAGAGCAGGGTAAGACAACCTAACCCAGGGATAGGCAACCTTTCTGATGGCGAGTGCCATTTAAAATTTCCTCAGAAGTCAGTGTGCCATATGATTGCATTAGCAATAAATTTAATAATGCTCTATATGAACAGTTACACACATCAGTACCATCATAGCACCCACCCAGCTGTATAGAAACTCTGTCATGCTAGCTAGTACGCAGTACGAGTTATTGTAACTGATTGTAAAAAGTCATCACAACGAAAATAAACTCCACCTAAACTTGGTTTATATCTGACCCAGATAGACTGCAGGTCATAAATTCTTACCTGAAGTTCAGTTCACCTGACACTCGGACCGGTGGCCGCCTCGGGTGTCTGCTCCTCCTGCCTCCCCTCTCTCTCATCCACCTGCTGGCCTCCACCACTTGTTAATTTTACTGAATCTGTGGAAGCTCCGCCATAGCCACCATCAAACACATGAGTTATTTTTACACATCCGCCAGCATCTGGCCAATCCACCACCTTTCATTTATACCGTTACAAAAAAAAATTAAAAAATCATCGGCCCATCAAGCAAATGCCCGGTATGCCCGATGGCCAGTCCAGCTATGGTCGTGCCATCAGTTAACCCTTCGCGTGCCAACTGTGTCACACGTGCCTAAGGTTGCCGACCCCTGACCTAACCTAACCTGTTTTGTTTTGGGGTGTTTTTTATCATTTAAAGATAAAAAATCATTTAAAAAAAGTAATGGATCAATTATTAACTAAAAAAAAAAAGAATGAGCCAAATTTTGACATATTTTCTTCACTTATCATCAAATAAAACAATAACCTCAACCCCAAGAAATGAAAGGCACACATAAATTCGGATAAATAACTTATGCAGCAATGCTATATGAGAAGATATATAGTAAAAGTCATGGTACGAAACACAGGGCCTTCGCTCTCTCTGGGATCTACTGTAATATAAAAAATGACCACACACACACACACAGACACACACACAGTTGTCTTATCTGGCTCTGTGGCTGCAGGCTGTGGGTGTGCAGGGGTCAGCGAGAAGGGATTGGTATCTCAACTGTCTTTGGAGTGCAGCAGCTCATCAGTTTAGACTAAAGTGAGGCCGGCGCTCGTCCTGACCTAATCCAAACCCTCTCCTCTCCCTCCCAGTAATTGCTTCTGTTTGTTTATTAATAGCACACATTATCTTCAAAGATCCAGACATAGGGCTGCCGAGTATTCGCAGTAAGGCGGCGGCGGCAGCAGTGTGGTGGC